CAAATCAACAGGTCACAACATCGACACCGAACAGGAAGCAACAGCGACAAACAGAAACCGCAAAAAGAATCGGGAAAGAGGGTCAGGAAATAGGCAGGTACGCCGGATTGATCAGATCCGGTATCCACCGAAATGCCGTAGCTTCATTGGACTGGATAGGCAAATCGGCTCCAGTCCCCCTGCTGCTTAAAGTTTTGCGTCCGTGCTCCAGGACGGTTCACACACACAAAGCCCCGGTGGGGCGGACACGAACCACACAGAGGGAATTCCACCAGGGGACCGCCAAAACCCCGCGGCAAAAGCAAAAGATTTTCAAAGACGAAAAACCGGGCGCACAAAACCAAGCAGAGGGAATTCCACCAGGGGACCTCCAAAACCCCCCAGCAACAGCAAAGAATTTTCAAGGACGGAAAACCCCAGCACACAACAACCACACAGAGGGAATTCCACCAGGGGACCGCCAAAAACCCCGCGGCAACAGCAAAAGATTTTCAAAGACGAAAAAAGCTCAGCAAATCAAAGGAAGTCAAAGGCGTCACTTGAACGTGAACGTGAATTGAACTGATCTGAGTCGGTGCAAAGCGTGAACCGATGAACTGCAAAGTGGGTGTCTGACCGACTTGTCACTCGCGCATGAAGCGGCCGATGCCTGATACCTCATGAGAGCTGCCTTGTTCAAAGTGCAGGCAGTGCAATGCGAATGAAGCTGTCAAAGCCTGAGACCTCATGAGAGCTGCCTTGCGAATGGTACCTCACCTGCAAAATTGCTGCCTTGATCATGGTCAACCGCGCTGAACTGAACTGCAGCTTGAAGTTGAACACTTGAACGGTCTTCCCCTCGCAGGGGGCTCCCGCATATGGCGAGTCCAGCCCACGGCGCCATGTCGGACAGGCCGTGGGTATACACACTTATCTCGAGAGGCTTCACTAGCCGAGATGAAAAACGCAGTCAGTAAAAATGCTTGAATGCAAGTGCAAATCAACAGGTCACAACATCGACACCGAACAGGAAGCAACAGCGACAAACAGAAACCGCAAAAGGAATCAGGAAAGAGGGTCAGGAAATAGGCAGGTACGCCGGATTGATCAGATCCGGTATCCACCGAAATGCCGTAGCTTCATTGGACTGGATAGGCAAATCGGCTCCAGTCCCCCTGCTGCTTAAAGTTTTGCGTCCGTGCTCCAGGACGGTTCACACACACACACCCACACGCACACCCACACGCACACCCACAAGGACACGCACACAGACACACACAGACACACACAGACACACACAGACACACACGGACACACACACAGACACACACAGACACACACAGACACACACAGACACACACAGACACACACAGACACACACAGACACACACAGACACACACAGACACACAGACACACACAGACACGCACAGACACACACAGACACACACAGACACACACAGACACACACAGACACACACAGACACACACAGCTGACAGACACACACAGACACACACAGACACACACAGACACAGACACACACACACAGACGCACACACAGACACACACAGACACACACACAGACACACACACAGACACACAGACACACAGACACACAGACACACAGACACACAGACACACAGACACACAGACACACAGACACACAGACACACAGACACACAGACACACAGACACACAGACACAGACACACAGACACACAGACACACAGACACACAGACACACAGACACACAGACACACAGACACACAGACACACAGACACACAGACACACAGACACACAGACACACAGACACACAGACACACAGACACACAGACACACAGACACACAGACACACAGACACACAGACACACAGACACACAGACACACAGACACACAGACACACACACACACACACACACACCCACACCCACACCCACACCCACACCCACACCCACACACACACACACACACACCCACACGCACCAACGCACGCCCGCCCGCACGCACGCACGCACGCACGCGCGCACGCGCACGCCCACGCGCACGCGCGCACGCACATACCCACACACACCCACACACACACACCCACACACCAAGACACACCAAGACACACCAAGACACACCAAGACACACCAACACACACCAACACACACCAACGCACACCAACACACACCAACACACACCAACACACACCAACACACACCAACACACACACACACACCAACACACACCACACCCACGCACGCACCCACGCAAGCACGCACGCACGCACGCACGCACGCACGCACGCACGCACGCACGCACCCACACACACACACACACATGCGTGGGTGATGTTCCGGATCCTCTTTGTTTCTCTTGTTTCCCATGTTCCTCTTTGTTTCCAGGCCCTGCTCCAACATCTGCTCCCCAACTGTCACAGATTTGGCATGAATGCTGAATGCAGGTGTAGTTCAGGAGTCTTTCCTGTGTGTTTACGCACTCGCATTTGCAGCTATCTTGGTACTCGTAGTGCTCATCCTTCCATCTCCTTCTCCGCGTGTGCCCAAGTGAAGAGAATTGCGATGAATGCCAATGAGAAACACGAATATGATAGGCCTGGCAGGTGCTTTCTCATTCCATCACTCGTCTGGTTATACTACTGGTCTTTGGATCATGCACTTTGATAATTGAAAACCTACCGTTTGTTTTGCGTAGCTCACCGAAAGTTGATGGCTCCAAATTGACCACTCTCTGCTTCGGATCGCGGATCGCGGATCGATCCGAGGCTTTGGCATCGACTACTATGCCAATCAAGTGCCGGGGGATGCGGACTGGCCAACTATCCAGGAGGCGCAGATCGATGGTACCTTGAGTGACCTGCGTGGGCAATGGTTTCTGGGATACGCTGATTGTTTGCCGACCCGTTCATCAGAAACTGGGGATCTTTGATTTTGGTGTCCTGGCACATGTGATCCGTGCAAAATGCAATGTGATCCGCTCATAATGGCTACCATGACGAGGCAATCGCAAGGCGCCAATGAGCTCACCTAAAAGTGCAACGAGCTCATAAATAGGTATGTGTCAAAATGGGAGACCAACACACTTTTGGTGCTCCTTTTGGTTTACCTGTATGCCAATGGCAAAGGTGGGAGCACCTTGGTCAAGTTGGTTTCCCCGTCATGTTTGGTTTCAGGTTTGGTTTCGCTGGGCAACATCACAACAATCAACCACCTTTGAATTGGATTAGACAACACATAGAGGTCTGTGTGTGTGTGTTTGTTTTGAAGGTACCCTTTCACCTTGGTTTAAAGCGACGCAAACAGGACAACTCCAGCATTATGGGGTCCAAAACTCAGGTTTAAGACACATACACCGCATTTGGCATTTGTCAAGTTTGGTGTTCCCGTTTGGGCAAGCAACATGGCTGTGGGTCAAAACCCTGAACCCCTGGTGAACATCAAAATAGGTGTACATGGGAGTTCATCCGCCCCAAAATGGACGCATAGGTTATGACCCATGGCTACATGTCAAGTCCCCGTCCTTTCACAACATCTCAAGCAAACATGCCATGTCAACACTTTGGTGCATGTTGCTTGGATGTTAAGACTTAACTTTTTGCCAACTAATGGGTTTTCCATTGAACCACTAAAAGTTAAACTTTTAGCAGGGGAGCAGGGAGCAACCAACAGCTTGGACAGGTGTGGCCGGGCTTTGGCAAAAACGACTCGAGGGGCACCCGGCCCCCGCTGGAATGCGGGCCCCAGACACACACACACACACAGACACGCAACCCCCCCAAATGTCCCTTTGAGTCCAAAGACGGATACCATCAAGCAAAGATACTCCCAAATGGTGCAAGTGATAGATTGCTTATTCAGGGGTGGAACGAGCTCATCCATTACAAAGCCCTGATAAAGCTTCTTGACGGTTTTTTTGTGATTCCATGCTTCCGGTGAATTATGAAACGCCATTGCCACCAAGGCCTTTGCCGATGTTGATTTGAACCGGGGTCGCAACGTGGGAATCAGTGGAAACCGTACTTTGATTTCCGGAGCTATCCACAAAAATCATGACAGAAAAGATCCAGAAGCCTGCGGATTTAACCCCTAAGGTTCCTGGGCCTTGCTGGTGGGCCTGTAATTCAACGAAGGATGTGGTTCAGCTCCGCGTTGTGTTGCAGCTCATCATTTTGCAAGGCACAGGTTTAGGCTGGTTTGTCCATTTGCGCTTGAAAGCTACAATAATTGACTGCACATGTCAGCAATCCCATGCGAAAACCCGGGTATGATGTGTCGAAATAGGGGAACCCTCGACAAAATATTCCTTGTGTGTTTCATTTTAAAACCAACACAAACATGAGTACAGACAGACACACACACACAAACCTACACACATTTACACACACAGCTGGCAAAGATTGAGAGTCAGGTATGTCAGCGTGTGCTTATGGATGACCAATGACCCTGCCCGTTCCCCCGCCATCCCGTAATGTGATCGGGGCTGGTTCCAGATTCACTTCAACTATAGGTGAATGTGACTTTTTTCTACTGTACCGTGGGGTTTTAAGGGAACCACCAATAAAAAAACACACAATCTTTGTTGGGTCCCTATTTTAAGACACACCCTAGCCGTTTCTTCCGGGTTCTGGTCGTTCTTCTGACAACAGCTGGAAGTCACCCCTACTGTGGATGGACGAAATCCTGCACCACCTAAGGAACCCTGGAATGAAGATTCCCCAACGTAAATACCAACAAACAATGGTTTCAACCATGGTTTCACAGTACGAAATGGATTCCGTCCATCCACAGTATGAGAATGTATGAGACGTTTTCGGGCCTTTCCTTAGCTCCTGGTCAGGTGCTGCGGATCATCGAGAACATCTTTACAGCGGCCCGGAAAGCTCCAGGACCTCCCATGCCCAGCATCAAACAAACCCCCTTGGCATCAAATCTTGGACCCGAGTTCCCACAGCTGAAGTCAGGAATCCCGAATCCAAGTGCGCACTAGACCTGTAGAGGAAAAGGCAACAGAAGAGAAAAGGCAACAGTTTATGGAGGAATCGCCTTTGGTGGCACCAGGCTGTTGTGTGAATTTGCGTCAGAGCCCCTATCGGGAAAATCGGGGGGTTGGGGTCCTGAAGTGTGGCAAGTTCTGTTCGGGGCCCTAATGTTCCCTTTGAACCCCCAAATGTTTCAAGTTGAATGACACCCACCAATGAATTACAATATAAGTGTATTTAACATGATATTATATAATGTTGTTATACCACAAAATGTATTTCCATGGAACATGATCAGCTTGTGAATGGGAAATCCAGCATCCTGTGCATGGCTGTTCTTTGACTAGCTCGCCCCTGAGGTCTTTGGAAACGAATGCCCCACCCCGTGTGCGCTCATATTAACAGGTGTGCAACTCCCCCAAAAGTGAAGGATTTACCTCTTAGCTGGGACATGCCCGTATTGGTCAACCAGGGTGTACCAACCCGGGGTTTTCAATTTTTGATTTTCCATTGAGCCCGCAAAAGCTTCTGCTATCTTGGCTCAGTCCGGCTGGAGCTATTTAGGGTCATATCCTTCAGCCTTCATTTTTGTTCTCATGTCATGGTGGCACGTTCTCAGTAGCCTAAAAGCACAAGACGAAAAAGCATTTTCGTGAAGCAGGGGCACGGACAGCCTGAAGCCGGCCAAGTATCCAAGGTCATTTTTTCCGTCGACGTGCCACTTGGCGGAAAAGCCGAGAAGCTGCTTGCTTTAGCAGACAGCGCGCAGCGCATGGTCATTGCAGGGGTCCTGCATGGGCATGTTGTTTTTTGTTTCAGTTTGAGGGTACCACTTGCAAAGATGAACCAACAGGAACACAAGTTCTGGATATTACTCATATTTGTTGATACCCATATCCCTGTAAACATGACCACCAGAGGAATGATGCGCAGCCCATGCTGACATCACCTCGGGACTTCAGGACTCCTGCAATAAGACTCACAGCATTGGAGGCAGAGATGCGCATGAATGCCGGCAGAGATGCGGTAGACCACTTTCAGCCATGTGAGCCTATCTGATATCTTTATGAACGTTCCCCTTAGGGTTGTTTGGTTGTTTAATGTGGGGGAGAGTCTTTGTGGGTTGCCCATTTGAAGGGAAGCTGTGGCAATTCATAGCGGGTGCGTTTTGCTTATCCGAGTCGTGAACCTTTTTCACAGTTGCGGACCTTGTGATACCTGCCGCTGTGTTCTTTTCTTCTTTTTTTATAGTTTTTTTTGTTTTTTTCCGCTAGAGTCTGTTTATCCTCTATATAGAGTGATCTAATTGCAAGTCGTATTTCAAGACGACAAGTCTATCGCATGCTAGGCAAATTCTTGATGAGCGTCGTCGGGTTGTTCGATGGGCGGCCCGAGACTGTCCAAACACTGTGTTTGTCACAACAAAGTTTCAGCGATTGCTCCGACTGCGCTAATGGGAAATAATTCCACCAGGGCCGTGTTTTATGATGGTTGCATGTATTTTACTGAGAGGCCTCCTTTCATGCCCAATGGGGTCACCCACCGCCTTGAAACAGTCACCTATGGCTAAGAAAAGCAAGGGGATCAACAACGCAACCTTCTCCACGGACGCACGGCCTTTGTCCATCTATATATTTTGATCAACTTGTTTCTTTGTCAGGGGTCTCTACTTCTTGCGGGCAGGTCGTTTCCTTGTTGGGAATGAACGGGATCCCCTCAAAGGAATTCGCTAGTTGGATGGTAGAATTCGCCGATTGACTCTCCACTAAGGTGTGCGGCAAGTTGCTTCGTTTTCGACGCCATCGGGAAATCCTACGGAGGTATGGGGGCTATGTTTTTTTTGTTTTTAACCTCCTCCACAAGACCTCAGCTTGGTCTTTGGTGGACAACTACTGGCTTTTCCAAAAAAGATTCCACAAGACCACTGGCTTTTCAAACAGGCGGACAGGTCCACGGGACCTGGACATTGAAAAAAAACCCACCCGCGCCTTTTCCGCTCGCGCGCAAAGAGAAAAAAAGAAGAAAACACAACTCGTCTCCGAGGCTTGTGCGGATCGTGGTCTTGCAGTGTGCCTTTTGGAAGAGCGTCATGAACTGGCGCCCCGGCTTGGGGATTTTTTTCGAAAGGCCATGGTTCGGGTCGCAAGGTACGGAAGGGGGAAGAATGGGGTTTAGACAGGTCGAAGTCCTCGGATCGCAGAGGCGCACACCTCACTTTCTGGATTTCCAGTGGTGGATGCAAAAAAGCATGGAGGAACAAGTTGGGATCGTGGTTTACTGCACTTCCTGTTTTGTGTTGCTGTGCTTGGTCCACTGTCATGCTCAGAAATCGGCAGAATCACCGTTGCCGACCGACTTTGGGGAAACCCTGTGAGGAAACCTAAGTGCAGAATGACTTGTTGCTGGGGCATGCGGCTTTTGTGTGGAAGGAATCCAGCTACGGAGATATTGAAAAAATGCTGCTGATGCGAATCTCCCCCTCTAAGTTTTTGCAAAAGACACGAATAGCATGTTTTGGAGCGAGGCGTTTGATACTGAATGTTCACCCCGGATTAATAACCCCCTGATCGTTTAAGGGCAATCCTTCACGTTCATGAGTGACCCCCCTATGAATAGGATAGGTAGAACCGTATAACAGGACGATGTTCGTAGGACGTGAGCCAATCAACGGGCAGCCATGGAAGGGGAAGGACAATTCCGATAGACAGATGTCTCACAGGTTGAGTCACAGGGACATTTCAAAGATGGTTTTCCTTTTGGATTCCCTAGCAAATCAATCGAGTTCCTGGACTTTTTGGTTTGCAAATAAAAGTTCGGACGTTTTTTAGACCAATCCACTCAAGCGAGATCAAAAGGTACCTGGAATCTCCATGAAGCTCTAGCATGGGTCACCCAGAAAGCGCCTGGCGGATCGGAAGCCTGCGACCCTGGTTTCTCCTTTCTTAGGCCGAGACGCGAGGGATGCTTCGAAGAAAACCGCCGAAAGATGTGTAGGTGCATCCAACCCTTGTGGAGGAGATGTAGTGATCGCCCTTCAGGAGGTTGGCTTGGAACACCCGAATTTTTCAGGTTGTTTTTGCTTGCAGGACAAGGCTCGGCTTGGTTTCGGACATGCTCGGTTTGGCCAGGATCGACACCATCGTGGTGACTCTCACCATCGCCACCCTCTTCCTGGACATGTGCTGTACTCAGCTCACTCCGCATAGCTCGATCACTTTCTCTGAGGCGAACATCGAGGATTGGGGGCTTCAAACCTGAGCCACGTGCTCAAAACCGATTCGGGGATTGATGAAGATCAGTAAGGGACCATCCCCTTGCCATAAATAGCTGCGGATATCCGGCTTCCTCATTCTTTACGTGGTTCTGGGTAGACCATTTTAATACCGGGTTTTGATTGTGACTCATGTCACATTGACATAAAGATCCGAAGAAGGGGGCTGATCGCTTCATGTGCCTTTTTGCAGGGACTCAAATCATGGAATTGGGAAGCCATCTTCACCTTTCCGCTTCCAATTCAGATCGGATCTTTGAGTTTCATGTCCGCGGAGCGAGGAGCAATTTTACACTGGTTTGCTTTCGGGTTTCCTTTCCATCCACAAGACCTCGAGCCAATTCAGCACAAGCTATGTCCAGCCGATATGCTGACTTGGGGTTCCTTTTTGTCGGCCTGCGAGGCAGAGAGTGAATTAAACCCATTCCCCCAAAGGGACCGCCCGGGTTTAAGTTTACCTTTGGGTGGTCGGATAAAGACGGTGGGAAAGTTGAAAGACGGATCCAGTCAAGTCCAGAGCCATGTCCAACCCAGTTTTCTTTCATTAGTTGGTGGTTTGGATTGGTTTGGAGATTTGAACCTCAGGTTCTCACAGAGGGCAAATGGGAAGCCATTTCCTATTCTCCAAACCACCAAACCAAACCAGGAACTAGAGGGAAGCGGATCTTGTTTGTTCCTTGAATGTCCCTCGTTGCAATGCAACTTTCTCGGTGCTCAAGACTTCGGAGAAGCATTCCACTCATTCGATTAGAAACGAATGTTGGAAAAGGGGGGACTGCACAAATGCACACAGCGAATCATCATGCAACTTCACCTGGAGGGTTTGATTAGACATGCCGCGCTCGCTCACTCGGATTTGGATAGCTTTTGCAAGGTCCAGTCTGCCGTTGGACCCCATCTTCCTTCGTCTGCGGCTGGACTGCAGATGAGAAGCTGTTGTTATTCCTAGTGCTTTGCGTACCACCCACTTCCAACCAGTTGTGTTGGCGCAAATTCAACTCTTAGGGACCACCATCCGAAAGTAAGTTATAGGTTTGCACTTCGTTGGGCTAGGACATTTTAGTAGGCCATCCATTTGACTAGAATTGTGTGATCTCAAATAGAGGCCACCCTTGACAAAGGGCATTTGACCGGCCCGCACCGAACATTGTTTGGAACGGTGTTTAAGCCACATCTCTTGGGCGCTTCAGCCTACAGAAACTCAGGTGCCAACGTTATTTCTCTAGTTATGACTTGGTGTTGATAAATGTTTAGTGACATCCCGAACTCGCGTTTGATTCTGTGATGGTGTCGCTGTGTGTGGGGCTTGTGTGATTGGGCCTTGGATGTGTTGGCTTTAGCGGTTGTGTTATGTTTGTCGATCTTTCTTGCTTGCTTGCTTGCTTGCTTGCTTGCTTGCTTGTTGGCTGGCTGGCTGGCTGGCTTGCTGGCTTGCTGGCTTTCTGGCTTGCCAGCTGGCTTGCTGGCTTGCCTAATTGTTTGCTTGCCTGCTTGCTTGCTTGCCTGCCTGCCTACCTGCTTGCTTGCTGGCTTGCTTGCTTGCTTGGTTGCTTGCTTGCTTGCTTGCTTTGTGTGTGTGTGTGTTGGGTGGTTTAGTGGCGGGCTTGTGCGTGTATGCGTTCGCTTGTTTTTTTTGGTGTGTTTTTCGTTGGTTTGTTTGCTTTTTTGGAAGGGGGAAGAAACAGAACGCCACAATTTGTTGGGTTCCCGATTGGGGGAGGGTGGTTTCCACAACGACGACACATGGGTTTGTGTCCCCTGCAAAATGCGTGATTTTCTTTCGGTGGCCCTTTCAAGTTCGCTGAACAGGGCACCAGAAGAGTGCGTGGTGTTTTTGAGGGCCCCCGTTTAACTTGGTAATTACACCAGCATAGCCTCCAGATAGCAGCGCTTGCACACCAGCACCTCCAAAAGCACCCCCCCGAACAACGCCCCAAGCGAAACCCGGCCGTCAATTGAGCAAAAATGCGCACGCACCATCACCCTGAAGAGCACCCCAAACAGCACCCCCCAAACAGAATCCCAAACCACCACCTAAGCTGCATGTCCCCTTGCACCCTACCGTCAAGATGCAAACATGCGCCTGCACCGTCGATGGCACCCGAGCCTCAATATCGCAAAAAATGCGCTCGAACCGTCACCAGCACCTCAAACAGCTCGCCACAAACTGCGGCCCACAGCACCATCAGCAGCAGCACCCCAAACTGCATGCCCCCCGGGTCCTACCGTCAAGATGCAAAAATGCGTGTGCGCGCCGTCACCCCCCAAAACAGCACCTGCACAAGCACCCCAGACTGCATGCCCCCTAGCACCCTACCGTCAACCTTGAAAAGATGCACACGCACTGCCGTCAGCACCTCAAACAGCACCTCAAACAGCACCCCAATCAGCACCTACGCCAGCACCCCAAACCGCACGCCCCCTCGCAGCAGCCCATCAATCTCGCAAATCACTTTCCCCTCTTTAGTTAGAAGTTAGAACCCCTATAGTTTTCAGCTATCTGGGGAATTAACTTGGTAAGGACATCCAAAACTTGCAGGTTCTCAGTAGGGAATGCCCCAGGGTGTTGGGAATGAACCCAGGAATTCCCGTAAAGGAAACCAAAGGGATGTTTTATAGGGTCATGCCGACCATTTCCTCATTCCCTGCCAATCGCACCAGCAAGAAAAGGTTCAATCCACCATTTGTGTGGGGGCTCCGTTGGCACACACGATAATGTGTCTTGAAGTTATGCATACGTTCAAAACAAATAGATGGCACTGGTATATTAGACAAGAACTCGATGTTCACTGATGACCAGGGTTGTGGGATCAAGGGGTTTATCCCCACTTTTGTGATATCTTCGGGAATCTCCCCTATTATATGGGGGTTGAGTCTTTTGGAAGCCCTTTCTGTTGTATCAGAGTGGTCCTTTCCCACAGCCCTGGAATCCGACGGCTGCTTTTCAGGCTGCGCCTCGGCAAGTTGGCCCGAGCCTTTCGGATGATCATCCTCTCAGGCGAGCGCGAGCCGTTTTCGCGAGCCTTTGGGTTTGCGGTTGGTTGAGGGCGCGTTTTTCGGGTCATTGGGGGCGGGGGTCCCCCTGTTTCGATACAGGCCTTGTACAGGAACCTTTTGGGGGTCCCCCAGTGTTGACGCTCTTAAAGGGCCAAAGTTCGTTTGAAGAACAAGCCAGCTGGCACTCCTTAAAGGAAAAGCCAAGGAGGTTGCTCCTAACATTTCTGAAATGTCCCCCCGTTCACCCCGAGTCTTCCCTTCCACTCACCACCAGTTGTGTCTCGTCCTTGACATATTTCATCTCTGCATTCCTGTGAATCATTTAGCTGCCTCAGCTCTAGAAACCATCCTTTTCCTCAGGTAAGACATGTTACTATGGCTTTCCCTTTTTTTTCGCCCTTTCAATTTCAAAACCGGGGGAGCTGGGCTTTTGGATTCTCCCCCAAACCTAACCAACGCAAGGCATGACGCGACAGTCGCTCCTCGAATCCCCCGAATCCGAATCCGAATCCGAGACCGAGAGCTTAAATGGACCCATGTCAAAATAGGAATCATTCGAACCCCCCCCCCAAAAAAAAAAAAGGGCAACCACAAAGCAAACAAACTCGGCGGCGTTCTTCTTGAAAACCCACCCGACTCCCCTTCAACCAGCCCAATAAAAACCGCGCCCATTGCCTTTCAACCAAAAACAAACCGAACAAAACCTCCCCGTGGCTTTCCCCATGGACCCCTCATGGACGCCCGCTCCGACGCGCCCGCTCCGACGCGCTCGGCCGGCCCCGGACGGCTCGCGCGCGCGCGCGGCTTGCTTCGCCTTCAGGGCGCTTGGAGTCCTTTGGGCTGCTGCTGAAGTGCGTGGTGGCCTCCGTGACGATGCTGGGCCCCTCGCGAACGGATCGGAGTGGGTCGGGTTCCTCCGGGGGATGCCGGGGGTCGCGGGGGGTCGGAAACACCGGGGCCTGCGGTGGGAAGGGAGAAAACAAAAACACGGGGCCTGAGATTTACTTGGTGGTTTGTGTCGGCCCGGTGAGAGAACCAAAGCGGAGACGTATACAACCAGGATGCTTTTGAGGGCGTGTTACCGTGGATAATGTGGATGGTCGCGAAATCTGCTCCTCGCACCACGAAATGAGACCCTGGTTGAAACCAGAACCGTTTGTTGGTATAGATTCGTAGGGGAATCCTCAGAAATCTGCACGTTTCTGCATGTGGTGCGAAACGGAATTCGTCCATGAGTGCCCAAAAAGGAAAAGCCCGAATGGTGTTGGGGAAACGAGCAAAAGACGACCGCAGTGGATGTTTTTGGGGCTCCCTCATTTTACAAAACCCCGAGACCCCTCCGAGCATTCAGCCCCGGAGCTTGCAGCGACTTTCCCAAAACGGATCACTGAAAAGTATTTGTTTTTTTCCACTGGGCACCTGAGATTTGGATGTGGGAGTTGGTGGCTTATCCCTTTTTTGGTTTGCCTTGGTTTCACAGACCAACAGTTCTGGCCATTTCTGGACACCTGAGATTTCTGGACACATTAGCGCCCCAATCAAAGGTTAGCTTGCAACAGTCTCTCTTTTTTTCCGGGATCAGCCACGACGTCAAGCGTACATATATATATATATATGTGCCCCATGTTCCCCCACCCCAGTTCTAACAGTCCTGAGTCCTGAATTCATACATATTTTTTGAGGTTCTCGTGGGGGTTGGCACGCTCGTGTCCCAAATATGGCGCTTACTAAGGCTTAAGCCTCAGCAAGGCCTTTGAGGCTTATACAGGCCCTCTTGACAGGGTCCTTCTTGAGGAGAATCCCCCTATCCTTCGGCATTTCTGTGGTACTTGACGCAACTTTTCCGGTTCATTGCTAGTTGTTGGGAAGGTGCCCATTCTTGAGTTGCTTTGTTAAGGAGAGCAAAAACCATTCCCGTATTGCCTTGTCATGAATATTATATATTCTGTTGACATATTTTTTAGCCCGGAAAAGCTGGACCCTGTTTGGAGGACTGTAGCGGAACCCCTCTGGCGGGCCCCAGGCGAAGATATTTATGAAACAGGGGGCTGCTCAGTATTAGGGGAAGCGACGCAGGGACATTTTGGGAGTACAACACCCAGAAACCAACACGTAAAGATTACATATCCCAGTTTACCTAGGAGGTACTGGTCTGGAGCTAGTGGAAACCCTCTACAGTTTGGTCGCTGAATGAGTACATGTCCGCTCAAGTGGGACATGGATCTCTCAAATTTGGCTTCCCAGTAAAAAGCCCAAACCTCTTTTGGACCTTCACTTAATTGGTGGGTCCACTAGCTTGGGCCACGAAAGCTTGTTCAGGCAATGAGGGCTTGTGGCTTAGGTTCGCTCCGCAAACCTCTGAGAACCAAGAAAAACAGTCCCCAAAAAGGAGATGGCCCAGGCTATGTGACCCACCGTACCCCCAGTGAACATCAACCAATGCCCACTAAAATAGACTAACCTACCCCAAAATGGGATCCCATTGGTTTCGACCCACAGCCATCGGGGCTTTGAAGGAAGGGTTCAAGCAGCTGGGGGGGGAGTGCTACCAAAAAGTCGTTCTTTTGGGTTGCGGCGTATTTTTCTGAGCCAAGGCTACGCCACGCTGGTCCTGGTCTTCGTTCAGTGTGTGAGCGGCGCCTTGGATCTGAACTCTGCAAATTGGATGGTTTCTCTTGGGTGTTCCTTCAAAGCCCCGAGGATATGGCTGTGGGTCAAAACCAATGGGATCCCATTTTGGTTGGTAGGTGCACCACCCATTTTAGAACCTATTTTAGTGGGGATTGGTTGATGTTCACTGGGGGTACGGTGGGTCATATAGCCTGGGCACAGAAATTTCCCGTTGAGCACGAAGAGTCCACCCATATCCCAGGTGAGAGGCTGTGGCGTAGCAGTTTGTTTCCCTTACGGCGTGCTTGTTTCCCGCCTTGGTTGGTGGGTTTCCCACAAAAACAAACTGGCAGCCCCCCCCAAAAAATAATAATAATAAACGAGACCGCTTGACCTAGCAGTGTCACTGGGCAACTGGGCAGAAAGCGTTCACCTCGTTTGTGGACTCTGAGAGGTACCTGTTCGGTGAGAGTCTCATGTTGCCATCAAAGGTGTTATTGTGTCCCATGTTTGTTAAAAGGCGTGAAGTGGTGCTGTGAGAAATTTGCTGACGTGCTGAAACCGCCACCGCTATGCTGAAACTGGCGGTCCCCAACCAGGAAAACGGCCCTTGCTCCCAGGATAAACATGGTCCCGAAATTCGATCAGGGGTGCAAGTGGAATTGTTGGTCGCTACCGGCCATTTGCGGTCCAACTGGTAACCCCACATTTGTCAAGGAAAGGGATCCAACTTATTGGCAAACAACAAGTTTAGACTTTTTCTGGCCAACCCAGTCAGGAAGTGAGTAGACTTGTCCTCATTGTCCCACTGTCCAGTTCAGAATGCTGATTTTCAACTTGCGCTGACAGCTGTGACGACGGCTGCTTGATTGATCTCAGCGATCCCTCCTGATCGTCAATTTGAGTTGATGAGTAAGCCAAGGTAACCAACCTAGTTGACACAAGTCAGCCAGGTGCAAAACGGGAAAGGGCCCTACGCTTGAAGTCGCTGCCTTTTCACTGCTCAGGCAGTTGGTAAGGTAGCCCTCGCGCATGACTGATCCGGCTGAGATTGGGATTGTTCTCTTTCAAAAAATGGGCCACATTCTCGGAAAACGAGTGGTATTAGGAAACCTTTTTGGAATTCCAGGAAGCCACAAGGCATGGTACATGGGGGTTCTGACATTCCGGCATTCTGAGAACCAAAGGTCATGCGCACCTGAGGCATGGTCATCAGCACTTTGGTCTCGCGCTACTTGGAGGATTCGGGCATTGATAAGGAGCAGCGGCGGAGTCTCGACAAAGCTTCAGCAAACCTGAGCGGGGCAAGGTCATCCTCGAAAGGGTTATTAGGTGGGCGACATGGGACCCTATTTATCAGCCGTTGTTTTGTTAATGCTGCACCCTCTGTCACGCTTTGTCGGCATTATTTCTCCAAACCTCCCATGGCACCTGCCTGGAGGTTTGTGGAAGACTATGTTCCGACCTTTTGGTCAGCCGGCGGATGGTTGCTTCATGTTTTGACGAGCTGAGTCTACAAAGTGCAGAGAGTCATGTTACTTGGTGGCTCCCAGCCATCCCCTTAGCTTTCTAGCCTTGTAGTGTTTAGTGGTTTCGTGGTAGTTTCTATTTAACCCACTAACTGCTAAACTTTTAGCGGGGGATCTGAGGGCAGCCCAGGTTAGAGTCACGTCTTTGGCTTTTGTAATTGTAGTGGCTTCGCGCTACCCGCCTCGGCCTGGCTGAAAACAGAACCAAACAATGGCGCCTCAACATATTTTTCATGTTCAAGAAGATGTTACAGCACAATTGAACATGTTTAAAATAGCAACAACAACTAGAAACAGGGGCCTCTGAAGCTCAAGAAAGACATGCCCAGGTATGTCTTCCAATACTGGGGCACCTTCACCCGGACGTTCCTGACGATGTTTGAGGCGCGGCCGGCGCGGTCCACACAGGTGGGAGTTTCATCTAAACTTGGCTCATAGACAGCTTGTTTTTTTGGCAGGGGTGCTCCGTACACGTGGAGCACTTTCGTGTTTTTTTCTTTCTCGAATTGAAAAGCTAGAAGCTGCCCGGGCATCTGCTGGAAGACGATTTTCCTCCAGACAAGACCTTCTGTGAGATTTGAGGAAAACTTTGGGGGAGCCTGTTGTGTTCGGGTTCGGGTTCGGGTTTGTTAGGATAGTGAGACAAGTGAGGCATGTTTGCGCAACCACAAGTCAATGGTCTGCCAACAAGAGTCAAAGTGCAAACTTAAGGGCTGCCGCTCGTGTGACGCTTGTCGATTCAGCGTAGGAGGTGTTCTTACAAAAGGCAAGGGCTGCCTCTAAAGTGGGACTCCCGTTGAGTGCATGCATTGGTTTATTAAGCCTGCGGCGAACATCACATGCGCTGACCGCCAGAGGATATGCACGCATGTCAAGAAATGGGTAAGGGATCGCCAAAATGGTGAGTCTCCGGTTGCTTCCGCTGACCAACCTGAAAAGGGGACCCCCCAGGGACCCGAAACAAGGCTCTCAAAGGCTCTCGGCGGTCCGAATTACGGTTTTGAGCTACATGTTCGACTTGTTTCGCCACTTGGTTCCCGACCAGCAAACACCAACACCTTTTCCAGGCTTGGAAAGCCTACAAAGCCCAAGCCAAGTGTTTGAAGGTTTAGAAGTTTCCGCCACTATCCAACCAAAGCCAAACGGTGTCCATTGCGTGCTCACGCAAAGTTTGTTATGAGGGTTGCAACCTGTCCTTGACGCTGAAGGAGCTCGTTCGCACACTGGAGGTTCATTCAACGAGGATCCTTGACGGGGGATAAATGAGTTGGGTCATAGGTCCTTTACCTGGGCAGCTGGACAACCAGCACATCGATTCCGTTTTTTGGGAAGCATGACGCTGGCGTGCATGTGCGGAGTTCTTGTGGCTTACTTGGGGTTCCTATGTTGAACCTCCCGCATTGAAGGCACGAAGTTCAGACTTGCATTTTCGGATCTCAGAGGCACCAATCATTTGGCTTAGTTGGGTTTTTGTTTTTATAACGGGTCACTGGCACAACGTCATGGCCACAACCATGGCGTTTGCCAGGGGGTAATGATCCTTGCTATGTTTCCCTGTTTTGCGCATCTGGGTGGGTGTGTCATTTGTTGGTCCTTTTCTTGGGTCTTGGGTGGTGTTTCAAGGGAAATCAAAAGCGCGGCTGGCATGTTGCTATCACCTCACTCTTGGCCGTGACGAAAAAAACATTGCGCAAACAAACAAGTCGAAGCCTGGTGTTGTTTTGCAGGTTCCACTGCCATGGTTTCACCATGGGGTTATAGGGAAGGCTCCACGTAAACCTCGGACGTATGGTAGAACACAAAGTGGGTGGCTCTCGCTGGCTTCCCCGTGGAAGGGGTCAGCGACAATTTCAGCGCTGCTCAGGTGTTGTTTGCAAATTGGGCCCCTTCCTGCCGCTCATTGGTGGACAATGTGAGCGAGTGGTTCACGGTTGTCTTCATCGCCTACCGGCACCTCTGGCTAGTTCCCCGCTTTACGACGTTTTTTCGGCGGGGCTCCTGGTTCATCTTGTTTTTGCTTTCTCATTCAAGTGGAGGGCAGGGTTCCGGTGCTGAAATTTGTGTTGGGGCACTTGGGCTTGACCAAGTTGGCTGTAATTTCACGAACCCCACAAAGTTACCCAAGACATATACCCTTGTTGCACATGCCGAATATCAGCCAGAAGTCAAAGAGGGATTGATCAAGGACTTCATTTTTCCAGACCCCTCAACTCTAAAACTGGCACCCAACGCACAGCAAAAAGGGCGACCCTTTAAGATGTTCTCAAAGGTTCTCATGTCATGAAACCCGTAGAACATGCAGGCATTTGCTGCCAAACTATGCTTTGGACATGAATAGCTGGTTCGGTTGCAACTGTCACGGAAGCCAGCTGAAAAAGGAAGCTACAATAAATTTTGGCCAAACATCACCAAAAGCAAGGATATCCTGTAGAATGTGCTGTAGGTGTTTGAGAAACTGGGCTCTGTGCGTTTGTTTCGGGCGAGATGCATCGTGGGCTTCGCGCTGCTCAACGTGGTGAACTCTGTCTTCGTGTCGCAGACCTTGAAGATCGCGGACTCCGATGAGGAGTACCTCATCAAGGTCCGGGCGAGCCTTGGAATGAGCTTACTGGTGTGTGTGTGTGCGCATTGATGATCGTATATGTGTTTTGACAACGAAACAACAGCAAGCGTCCAACAACAGCAGCAGCAGCAGCAGCAGCAGCAGCAACAGCAACAGCAACAACAACAGCAGCAACAGCAACAGCAAAACAGCAACAGCAACAACAGTAGCAAACAGCATCAGCAACAGCATCAGCAACAGCAGCAATAGCAGCAATAGCAGCAGCAGCAGCAGCAGCAGCAGCAGCAGCAGCAGCAGCAGCAGCAGCAGCAGCAGCAGCAGCAGCAGCAGCACCAGCAGCAGCAACAACAACAGCAACAGCATCACCAACAGAATTAGCAGCAGCAGCAGCAGCAGCAGCAGCAGCAGCAGCAACAGCAACAGCAACAGCAACAGCAACAGCAACAGCAACAGCAACAGCAACAGCATCACCAACAGAATTAGCAGCAGCAGCAGCAGCAGCAGCAGCAGCAGCAAAAGCACAAGCAAAAGCAAAGGCAACAGCAAAAGCAAAAGCAAAGGCAAAACAGCAACAGCAAAGACAGCAACAACAGCAGCAGCAGCAACAACAGCAGAGCAACAGCAGCAGCAACAGCAGCAACAAAACAGCAACAGCAACAACAACAGCAGCAGCAGCAGCAACAGCATCAGCAGCAGCAGCAGCAGCAGCAGCAGCAGCAGCAGCAGCAGCAGCAGCAGCAGCAGCAGCAACAGCAACAACAAAACAGCAACAGCAACAGCAACAGCAACAGCATCACCAACAACATCAGCAGCAGCAACAGCAGCAGCAGCAGCAGCAACATCAACAGCAACCGCACCACCAACAGCAACAGCAATATATCAGTAGCAACAGCAACAGCATTAACAATAGCAACAGCAGCAACAGCCACAAGAACCACACCAACAACAGCAACAACAGCAACAACAGCAACAGCAACAACAGCAGCAACCATGTCGTTCCAGCAGTAGCTGCCCCAGCCTGCGCTTCAGCTGGTTTTTCCGGTCCGCTCTTGTAACTGTTTTTTTGGCGCTTTGGCAGGTTTCGCACTCAGCACTTGGATGCCTAGCCCACGTAGCAAATGTATTGTGGCCATTAAATGACTGGAGTCCTTGAGATGAGTTCCGCTGTGATCCTTGTGACCTACCTGTAGTCGCTATGCAGATTGACATCCAAGCAATCAGAAGTGTTCAGCCCCAGAAAATGTTGGACCAAACGGGTCACCGAGTAGCTGCGCCAATGGAGTGACTGCTCAGGAGGAACGAGGCCCAGTATCGGAAGAAGCTGCATGCCCTATTCAAGGCGGCTGACATCACCAATGATGGGTACTTGACCATCGCTTCTCGGCCAAGTTACAGGGTGGTCTAATCAGAAACTTCAGAAAGGATCGAAGGAGTTTCTGGCTTTGTGAGGCTCACTTTCAGTCTTTTTTCAAATCCAGGTGACGTTTGTCTATTCCAAGCTACTTGTTGCGCTGAGGAAGCCCATTGAACACCAGCGAGGGTCAAGCCCACAGATTCAGCCGCGCTTCTTTGGTCAGGTCTGCTTGTAGCCGAGGCCCAAAACCATTCCGTCAGCCTAAACAACTCCGCAGGGTCAGTTCGAACCCCGATGCCTTTGAAACGTGGGGTTTTTTGGCCTCACCCCTGGCCGAAAGGGCCGTGACCAGATCTTGCCAAACATCCAGCCAGACATCCCAAAGCATTCTTCCAGATATCCCGCAGAAGTACCAACCAACGTTCCCAAATATGACCCAAATATTCCCCACGCATCCCAAATCCAAATGTCTTCCATCCTCCTTCCCGCATCCCAGCCTTGTTCGCGCATCAGCTTTAGGCAGGTTTGATGCATCTGGCCTCATCCCAACAAGTATCAGACCTCCTCAAATGATTGAATTATTAAATGGGTTTGTCAAAAAGGGGAACCCTCAAAATGGCTGGTGTCCCGGTATTTTCTCTCAAAGCCTTCCAGAAGCTTCCAAAAAGGCCGCCCTCAAAAACAGACCCCCCCCAAGACAAACATTGGCAACCATTTGAGTATCCCACGATACCCATCAATGCCCAAGCATCTCGCAGACACGCACGCAATTTGTTCAATCATACGTTTTATGTGCAGGGTGAGTTCATGCAACCCTTGCAGGATCTTGACTGCTATTGGGTTGGATCTTTAGACTTTAACTTTTTGGGAAATCAAGGGGTTTTCCACATATCACTAAGCCCCAAAGAAGTGGAAACTTTTTGCAGGGTCAGCAGCAACCCCTGGATTTGCTTGTTTCCACAGGATGAGTTCATGCAGCTCTTGGAGAACGACCAGCTCCAGCTGTGGCTCTCGCAGCTGCAGCTCGAGCCCGGGCTGCATTCCGCCGGTGTAGCGAGCGGTCCAGACGATTCGGGTGTAGCGAGCCATGATAGGGTCCTTTCCTTGGCGATCCAGTTCTGAATTCAGCTTTTGGAGCCATACTTCAACAAACATGCAGGCCCATGGGTGCTGTGTTGTGTGTGTTTGTCTGTTTGTCTGTGTGTCTGTGTGTCTGTGTGTCTGTGTGTCTGGTGTTTGTCTTTTGGAGGCTGCAGCCCATTCTTGGCTTATTTTTTGTGTGACTCCGGAGGCCCCGAGCGAGCTCTTGCCAACGATTTGCTTCTCCAACAAAATGTGGCCATGGTTCAAAACCAATGGGATCCCATTTTGGGATAGGTGCACCACCCATTTTAGTGTATTTTAGTGGGGATTGGGATGTTCACTGGGGGTACGGGCTTGTGACCCATGGCCATGTGGTTGCCCTGCTCAGGAGCAAAAGCAACGCAATGTGATCCGATCTTTAGATTTCTCGCTGCCTCTCTGCATGTGTGTTTGTTTTGTTTCGATGGCGCCTTTTTCACCCTGGTTCACAGGGAACCAAAAGGACAACCATCATTTTGCGCTTTTTTGGGTTATTTTGACGAACTCATAGAGTTTCACCCTCCCCTAACCCCACCCTCCCCTAATCCTCCCTGCCCTACGCCCTGGCCCCCCCTGTTTCCCTATGTGGAGGTCAGTAGGCGAAGGGGAGGTCTTGAACAAATGTTGCAAGTCTGCGAACCGTGCGGCATGTCAGATATACCGGCTGTTCAAATGAGCTACCACTAAACAGGCTCGTATAAGAGATATGTACTGGAGTGGAATAGGTTGAAATTAACAAAAACGAAGGTGTCTTTTGCACAATTCAGGATCTTTGTATAGTCTGGCTACTTTTTCTGAGCCATTCACTCAGGAAGTATAGGATCCCATCAGAGAATGGGACACAGCGAAATATCAATCCAACAGCGGTTTATCATTATTCATCGCCATTCCCAGTTGTTCTGGCACCCTTTTCCCCTTTTTTGTTCAGTGGGTTTCATACTTAAAGTTGGTTCAAAAGCGAACAGCTGATAGTTATAGGCCCCTTTTGTACCGAACGCGCTACTCAAGTTGTTCGGTTTGGGTTTGTTGGGCTTGTCGGGTTCCCTGATAGAAAACACCACAAAACGGTGAACCACCTCAAGAAGATGCTGGGCATGAATCCCCACCGAGATCATGTCCACCAAACAAACCCCTACTGCAAAAGCACACACGCTTGGGGGGGGGGGGGGGGGTTGGACTTGGGTCCGTTTTTGTCAACGTCCGCGACGGAGGAATACCATGACCTGGTGGAGCTCTTTGACATGATCGACTCAGGGGACGGCAGCTCAACGGTACTGGGATTCGAGAAAGCCGGGTCTCCTCGTTTTATGTTTGCCATTTGGCCATGGGTCACAAGCCCGTACCCCCAATGAACATCCCAATCCCCACTAAAATAGATTAAAATGGGTGGTGCACCTACCCCAAAATCGTACCATTCATTTTGACCCACAGCCGTCTGATTGTTTGTCATTGTGTGGTATTTCTTATATATTATCATTATGATTGTGTTGTTGATGTTATGTGTTTTCAGATGTTTTTGTCAACCTCATTATTGGTCTATCTATCTACCTACAGCATCTATCCATATATTAATCTGTTCATCTGTTCTTCTATCCATCTATTCCACTATTCATCTATCAATGTATCCATCTATCCATATATTTGTTTGTCTGTCTGTCTGTCTGTCTGTCTGCCTGCCTGCCTGTCTGCTTGCCTGTCTGCTTGCCTGTTGTTTGTCTGTCTGTCTGTCTGTCTGTCTGTCGGTCTGTCTGTCTGTCTGTCTGTCTGTCTGTCTGTCTGTCTGTCTGTCTGTCTGTCTGTCTGTCTGTCTGTCTGTCTGTCTGTCTGTCTGTCTGTCTGTCTGTCTGTCTGTCTGTCTGTCTGTCTGTCTGTCTGTCTGTCTGTCGGTCTGTCTGTCTGTCAACGCCGAGCTGCCTGCTACGGCTCCGGCCCTCACCCTGGACGATGCTTTGAAGAATCGGCAGCGGGACTTGTCTTTCCCGCGGGTGGTGGGGGCAGTGGCCAGCCCAGCGGTCCTTTGCCTGGCTCGTCCCCATGAGCCTCCTTGCCATGGCCCCTTCGTCCACCATCGCCTGGGTGTGGAGGTATCTGCTGGTGGTGCTGCTTTGTGTTTGCCGGGGCCGGGCGGGAGCGCCGGCAACTGACGCGGCTCTCAATTCTTCCCGAGGCCGCCTATGCGGCACCATCGACGCTCACCTCAGCGGGGCCTTGTGCGCCTCAGCGTATCGCAACGGCATGGTGTTCGTCCCACGTCGCCGGAGTTTCGCAAGGCCGCTGGGGCCGGGGCGGCTATGGAAACTGACGGGCTCCCACTCCCAACTTTGAAGGAGATCCAGGCCGGACACCCATCCTTCGCCACGTGCCCGCTACTGCCCGGCACATTTGGAGCCGGATACTCATGCGGGCTTTGGCCAACGCCCGACGTTGGCGGCGTCAGGGCTCAAGGAGCCATCCTACTGACTCTCGACCGGCTCGGTGAAATATGAGGCCTCACTTCTGCGCTGGGTCGAATCCACTCGGTCCTGGAACTGGAAGGGCGCCACATGTGAAGAGAGATCGCGGACAATGGTCGTCTTGGAAGGCATCCGCGCATCTTCCGGATACCGCCAGGCGGTCTCCACAGCTTCCCTTGAGCATATGCAGGTTCGCACCCCTTGCGCGCTGCGATCGCCCGCTTGTACGCGAAACAAGTGTTTGCAGCAATCAGGAGCAGCGGAGGAGCAACCCTGGTGACCCCAAAGGCAAAGGCTGCTCCAGCCCTCTTGGCCAATGCGCCTGCCCAGGGCATGCTCCCTACGCCTAAGGAGGTGTTGAGGGGGAGCTTGACGTGGCTTGGCTTCTCCTGCTCTATTCGTCGCTCGCTGGGGACCCGGCTTAGGAAGTTTGAAGGATTTTGGCATATTGCCAGACACCGTCTGTCTGTCTGTCTGTCTGTCTGTCTGTTTGTCTGTCGGTCTGTCTGTCTGTCTGTCTGTCTGTCTGTCTATGTATTTAACTATATGTATTGTATGTATATATGATGTCTATATGTACATATGTATAAATTATGAATGTATTTCTTTCTTTCGTTATTTCTTTATGTTGTTATTTCCTTCTGTTGTTTTTCTTTCTTCGTTCATTAGTTCTTTTATTTCAGTCTTTATTTCACTCTGTATTTCTGTCTTTGTTTCTGAAGTATATTTTTCCATTTTTATGTTTCTTTATTATTTGTTTGTTTGTGTGTTTGTGTTTGTTTTGCTGCATGTCTGCCTGGCTGTTTGTCCGTCCGTCGTCTGTCTGTCTGTGCCCTCCTGTCTCTGTCTCTGCCTTCTTCTCTGTGTCTGTCTCTGTCTGTCTGTCCGTCTGTCTGCCTGCCTGCCTGCCTGCCTGTCTGTCTATCTGTCTGTGTCTGTCTGGTCTGTCTGTGTGTCTATGTCTCTGTGTGTGGATGTGTCCGTGTGTGTGTGTCTGTCTGTGGCTGTCTGCGCCGGTCTGTGTCTGTCTGTGTCTGTGCATCTGTCTCCGGCTCTTTCTTTCCCTCTGTCTCTGTCTGTCTCTGTCTGTCTCTGTCTCTGCCTCTGCCTCTGTCTCTGTCTGCCTGTTTCCGTCCGTCCGTTTGTCCGTCTGTCTGTCGGTTTGTCTGTCTGTTTGTCTGTCTCTCTTTTTCGTTCATTTGTGTCGTTGTTTCTTCCTGCGCGTGTGTGCGTTTGCGTTTGCTAGCTTGCCTGGCTGCCTGCTCGCTCGAAGCTCGCTTGCTTGCTTGCTTGCCTGCCGGCCTTCCTGCCTGCCTTGCTGGTTTAAATTGCCTGCTTGCTTGATTTGCTTGCTTGCTTCAACTGCGGCCTTGCTTGCTTGCCGGCGGGCTGGCCAGCTGGCTGGTGGCTGGCTTGCTTGATTGGTTGATTGATTTGATTGATTCACTGACTGACTGACTGATTGATTGACTAATTGATCGATTGACTGATTGGCTACTTGATTGCTTGATTACTTGATTCCTTGATTCCTTGAGTATTTGATTACTTGATTACTTGCTTGCTTGCTTGCTTATATACTTGATTTGTTTCTTGCTTGGTTGCTTGTTTGTGCGCGACAGCTGTAACATCACTCACTGGGGCTCACAGTGTTTTCAGATGGAACCATGAAGCATATTTAGATGAACGAACGTGCGACTTTTCTGGTGTCCCTCATCGTTTGCATTGAAGCTGACTCACAAAGCGATCTTCTTGCATGAAATCCCCGCAAAAACTAAACCCTGGAAGATGCTAGAGAACCACTAAAACGACAGCATAACCTGTATTTAAGATAAGTTTGACTGCGTCTCATAGAGTTTTGTGAAAGCCCCACACATGCTTCAGAACAACAACCGCCAAACAAGAGGTACCAACTCCAACAAATAGGAACTGGTGTTCTAAGAGAAGTGGCCACTGTTTCTCCGCGTTTTGTGCATGGAACCCAAACCCGGGGTGCTTTCTCCAAAAGTAGAACTCTACAAAATAGCGGTTGTTTGGGTTGCATGTGAATTCGGGAGGCAGTGTTTACTCGGCGAATGTGCATTTGTGCAAAGCATGTGAGGTCCGGGCAATGGTTCCGTCGCCTATGGGAAATGTTGCATGAAG